ATATGCCCTCTCTTCCTATCAGCTGGTAGCTTCACTTTCTACTCTAGTCCTCTGTGGCCACGTCGCTGACTCTGGGCCCAGGAGTCCCCAGGTCTCCCCACACTGCTGGCCAATCAGGTCCCCATCTGGGTCCACAGAAGCCCACGGAACATTGTAGGGCTTAGCTTGCCACTTCATTGCTGCTTTTACCCCGCTTCCCCTTATGGGCGATGTGTGTGCTCACCAATCATGGTGCATATTTCCGTTGAGTCTTAGTCTTGGAAGGGGGTTTGCATTAAGGGGACCCGACCACTTGCCTTGATGTTTCCTGGACAAGCAATCTGTTTGTCCTGTCTTTTTAATGACCTTTTGCTTTCTTCCTGTATGACGTTCTTGATGTCATCCCATAACTCTTCTGTTCTTTGGTTATTAGTGTCTAATGCATCGTGTCTGTTCTTGAGATGGCCTCGAAATACAGATGGGATATACTCAATATCATATTTTGGCTCTTGTGGACTTGTTTTCATTTTCTTCATCTTCAGCCTGAACTTGCATATGAGCAATTGGTGGTCTGTTCCACAGTTGATCCTTACCTTGTTTTGCCTCACAATATTGAGCTTCTTCATCGTCTCTTCCCACAAATGTAGTCAATTTGATTCCTATGTATTCCATTGGTGAGGTCCTTTTATGTGGTTTTTAAAAAAAGTATTTGCAACGAATAAGTCATTTTTGTTGTTAAGTGCCATAGAGATGGTTCTGACCCGTAGCGACCCTGTATAGGGTTTCCCAGGAGCAGCTGGTGAGCTTGAACCACTGACCTTGCTGTTCAAAATGACTTTGCAGTCCAACGCATTGACCTACAACACCACACCAGGGCCGTAGATGTTGCAAAATTCGATCATGCAATCATCTCCAGCATTGTTTCTATCTCCAGGACTATGTTTTCCAACTACTGATCCTTCCTCTTTGTTTCCAACTTTTGCATTCCAATCACCAATGCATCTTGATTGCATATTTGACATTTTTTCAGACTTGTTGTTGTTGTTGTTAAGTGCCGTCGAGTCGATTCCAACCCATAGCGACTCTGTACAGGGTTTCTGAGGGTGTAAATCTTTACGGGAGTAGAAAGCCTCATCTTTCTCCCACGGAGTGACTGGTAGTTTCGAACCACGGACCTTAAGGTTCGCAGCCCGATTCGTAACCACTAGACTACCAGAGCTCCTTCCTCTGTTTCCAACTTTTGCATTCCAATCACTGATGCATCTTGATTGCATATTTGACACTTTTCAGACTGAAGAAGTTGGTAGACTTCTTCAATTTCATTGTCAGTGGCTTTAGTGGTTGGTGTGCAAGTCTGAATAATAGTGGTATTAACTGGTCTTTGTTGTAGGTGTATAGATATTATCCTATCACAGACAATACTGTACTTCAAGCTAGATCTTGAAATGCTCTCTTTTTGGTGATTAATGTGACACCATTGCTCTTCAATTTGTTATTCCTAGCATAGAAACCATGTGACTATCTGATTCAAAATGGCCAATATCAGTCTACTAATATTTAGAATATCGATCTTTATTCATTCCCTTTCATTTTTGATGACTTCCAATTTTCCTAAAGTCATACACCGTACACGCCACATTCCAATTATTAATGGGTGTTTGCAGTTGTTCCTTCCCATTTTGAGGTGTGCCCCATCAGCAAATGAAGGTCTCAAAACCTTTGTTCCATTCGTGTCATGGTGGTCAACTTTACTTTGAGGAAGCAGCTTTTCCTCAGTCATATTTTGAATGCCTTCCAACCAGCTCACCTTCCTTCACTCTATCCGGCAATGTTCTGTTACTAGTCACACTGCTGTGCACTGTAAAATAAGCACTGGGCTGCTAACCACAATGTCAGTGGTTCAAACCCACCAGCCGATCCTCAGAAACCCTAGACAGTGTTAATATGAGTTGAAACAGACTTGATGGCACTTAACAAAAACAACAACCATTCCGAACTAGTCCACCTCTCCTTTTTTCTTGTCTGGAAGTTCCACTGAAATCTGTCCACCATGGGTGACCCTACTAGCATTTAAAATGCTGGTGACATAGCTTCCAGCAACACACAAACTATGTGGACAACAAAATGACAGACAAATGGTGGCTGTAAGTTCTACAAGTACAGACCTCCTTCCTATGGGGCCAGCTAACACTCCCAATTCAAGACCTGAGTGTATCATAGACCCAACATATTATATCCCTTTCCTTCCCCATCTTTAATAAAACGAACATATGCGCACTTACATATACACACATTCCCTAGTGTGCACAAGTGTGTAAACCAGGAAGGAGTTCATTTACATGCATAGAATCTGAACAGCATGTGTGGGACAGAGAAATGGAGAGAGGTTTCATACATAGAATCAATTCAGCAGGATCTCAGAGCTAGAGAGGAGCACTCACAACCACCTTGGCCAAAGATTTTTAGTCCAATCATCCAGATAGGGAAGTCCCAGAGACCATGGGGAGAGCTTTGAATAGCCACAGGTCTTCAAATAGGGGCTCAAGCCAACCTTTTCTAAATTTCTGGAAACAAGAGGACAACCCCAGATGACATCTGGATTACTGAAGTAATAATACCTTTTCTCCCAGGTGGTTTTGAGGTTGAGTAATAATGTAGGTAAATTGCCTAACACAGTGTCGGATACCATTGAGTATTCAGTAAATAGTAGCTATATGAGTGGTACCGTGATTAAGTGCTCAGTTGCTAAACGAAAGATCGGTGGTTCAAACCCACCAGCTGATCCATGGGAGAAAGATGCTTCTGTAAAGATTATAGCCTTGGAAGTTCTCCTTTGTCCTTATGAGTCAGAATTGATGGCAAGGAATTTGGTTTTTGGGGGGTTGAGGGAGGTAAATGATAGCTGGAATTATGACCACAGTGAGTGGGCAAACATACACCCAAAAAGAGAAAAATCTAATTGTATAAGCAAGGCATTGTGTGTCATAGCTTTTTCAGAAAGATTTATAAAGAAAAATTCAAGGGGACTTCAGAAAGTTGGTGGAAAGATGGAATTAGAAGATAATGGAATTTTTCCACATACTTTTTGAAGTCCCGTTGTAGGAGTAGCCAGGATATTCCAGGTAAGGTGCACGGTGAGTAGAGGGGCAGACACAGGAAGGAGCAGCACAGGGTGAAGACCCAACAAACCAAAGACCCCAACAGTATCTAAGTACCAGAAACTAGGAAGGAGTCTGAGAAAAAGTAGAAACAAGTTTGGACGATTGAAGTCAGGAAACAGACAGACCTGACAGAGCAGAGGGAATGAGTGTAGAAGCATGCTTAACCCGGGGGGTCGGGGCAGGAAGGGGCAGGGGAGGGTAGATGTCACTTTTTCTAACTCTGGTCCCATCAAAGACCGAGTGACCCCACGCAACCTCTTCTCTTTCTTAGGTCTGAAAAGTAAGGAAACTGGACATTTATTTCCAAAGCCCCTTCTAGTTTGGTTCAATATCCAGGCAGTGGGGAACCACAGAAGGCTTCAGAGCAGGGAAAATTCTCACCCAAACAGCGCTTGTTGTCTGCCGCTAGCTGGTAGCCGGGGTTGCAGGCACAGTGGAATGTGCCCGGGACGCTGACACATTGATGCTGGCATCCATGTTCCCCTTCAGCACACAGGTCCTTCCCTGAGGACACACAGAACTAGCATCACCAAGGGACAAATAACCTCCAATAAGAGTGAGCTAGAGAGGGATGGGTTCTGAAGCAAGCCCCGTCTTCAAGTCAGAATCAGACGCAGGGGATGGAGATGTGAACACAAATCCAGGTGGCAATTTTTAGAGAGAAAAATGGGGCTTCAGTAGCTGGAACCTACACCACTAAAATTTCAAATACCAGCAGGGTCACCCAAGTTAAGACAGTTTTCAGCAGCGCTTCCAAACTAAGACAGACTAGGATAAAAGGCCTAGAGATCTACTTCTGAAAATTTGCCAATGAAAACCTTAATGGATCACAACAGAATTTTGCCCAACATGGTGCTAGAAGATGATATTGTTGTTGTTAAGTACTATCGAGTCAGTTCTGACTCTTAGCGACCCTGTGTAGGGTTTACAAGGAACGACTGGTGAGTTTGAACCAACTGACCTTGCGGTTCAAACTGACCTCGTGGTCCAGTGCTTTATCCTCCAGTGCTGACTGGGCAATGTTTACTGTTAGACAAAAGAATGTCATGAGTCACAGCCAACTCAATTGGCAATGAAAGAAAACAGCTACTGTGAGCAGGATCCGAGCAGAGCTGCAAGGAGCTAGCTGTGTCAACAGGAGATGGCAAGACTAGTAAGACCCGACTGGCAGGGAAGTGCTAAAACAAGGTGGGCGCAAAAAACACTAAGTGTAACTAAACTAGGTCCTACAGCATTGTGGGAAGAGCTACGTGAAGAAGAGGAGGAACCAGACCCATGAGGCAGGACTCTTTGGAGTGGGTATTTACTCTCACTTTTGAGGGGCGGTGTATATAAGGGGATCTGGGCTGTGCTGGAGCTTGACATCTGTGGTAAATCAGATCCGCCATACCCAAATGGGTGGGACAAGCTAAGCTTTGCTCCTTGTGGGTGGAGACTAAGCAAAAATAGCAGAGCTGGAATTTGACACAAATCAAAACATGAAACCATGTGCCCTGGAGTCAGTTCCAACTCATTACCACCACATGTGTGTCTGAGTAGAACTGTGCTTTACAGAGTTTTCAATGAATGGCCTTTCTTCTCAAGCGCCTCTGCGTAGGTTACAACTGCTAATCTTTGGGTTCATGGCTGAGACCAAACCATTTCCACCACCCAGAGAATTTAGTGGTAAATGGTAAATCTTAACAACTGGATTCTAGTTGGTCGGCAGGGCTGAAGTTGGAATAGGCGGGGTCACACCGGGAAGGGCTGGGCACTGAATCCAAGCTACTGGAAAGTTCCAGGCTTACCACACAGCCGGCCCTGAAACTGCAGACCAAACTCTTGGATGCGATCAAAGGACTCCACAAGGAAGACGTGCTCATCCAGCGGAGGCGACGCCATGGCGCGTAGGGAGCCCACGTCGGCGCGCTGCACGCCTACTGCGTAGATCTCGATGCCGCGGGCGCGCGCCTGTGCCGCCACCTCGGCCACGCGGTCCTGGGGCCGCCCGTCAGTCACGATGACGGCGACGCGCGGCACGCGTGCCTCCGGAGGGCGCGCACCCTCAGCCACACTGAATGCTACATTCATGGCGTATTGAATTGCCAGTCCGGTCATGGTGCCCTGCGCCAGCGGTATCAGTGCACGGATGGCGCGCTCCATGTCCTCGCGGCGGGAGAAGGCCCCAAGTGGGAAGACGCTCTGCACTTGACTTGAATACTGGATCACACCGACGCGCGTAGCATTGGTTCCCACATCCAAGCCGCGGAGTAGGCCCACCAGGAACTGCCGCATGATCTCAAACTCGAAGGGGCGAACGCTGCGGGAACTGTCAATCACGAACACCAAGTCTAAGGGCCCAGTTCGGCACTTAGGACCTGCGGAAAGACCAGGCAGACGTCTTTCCTAGGTCAGCAAAGCCTCACCTCTGAACACACCCCAGAGAAATTTAGGGGAATTCTGCTATCCCTGGCATCATAGCCAGCATCACAGGATTAACCTGGCAAATGAAGATTACATACATAAGGAGTTCTGGTAGTGTACCGGTTACGAATCGGTCTGCGAACCGTAAGGTCAACAGTTCGAAACTACCAACTGTTCCGCGGGAGAAAGATGAGGCTTTCTGCTCCCGTAAAGATTTACAGCCTCAGAAACCCTGCACAGGGTCGCTATGGGTCGGAACCGACTCCACGGCACACAGCCCCACCACCACCATCCAGAATTGGCTGAAGGCATGGGCAAGGAGATTTCACAAATTCTCTATCCTACACCTCTAAGAGCTACTCTGAGGAGGTGTTATCCATAGGCAGAGGAGATGGGGGACAGTTGCAAATTCACATGCTTACAGGGGTCTCCTCGGCCCCCCCCCCCCAAATTGCTGCAATGCCCATTCTAAATCATGGTGACCCTCTGTGTTACAAAGCAGAACTTACTTGGCTGTAATATCTATGAAAGCAGATTCTTAGGGTCAAACCACCAAACCTTTAGGTTACCTGTTGTTAAATGCCATGGAGTCGGTGCCGACTCATTGGGCAGTCCAACGCAGACTGTCTCTATCATCCAGAGACAAGTAGGGGGCCAGGAAGGCAACATAAATAAGTGAACTGGTTGGATTAGGTTGGTAGACACCCAACACTTAGCTGAGCACGAGCCCAACTTTGTACCCTCTACCCCCAGCGAGATGGACTGGCCAAGTGGCAGTATCGATGGACTCAAGCGTGGCAACAGTGGTGAGGTTGGCCCAGGATCGGGCAGTGTTTCGTTCCGCTGTGCATAAGGTCGCTCTGAGTCGGTACCGACTTGATAGCACCTAACAACAACAAACTTCATCCTACAGATGGTGAAACTGAAGTCCACAGAGGTGAAGCAGAGATCCAAAATCCACGTGATTTTCTCTCCCCTGCAAGCTGAGCTAGCTGCAGATGGAGAAATTGTCTCTGCTTCTCTCCTCCACTGGGAGGCGCTCACCTGCGAACTGGGGCTGGGTTTCCCGGGGCGGAAGGAGCAGCAGCAACGTGAGCAGTGGTAAGAATACAAGGCCCCTCATGGCGCTTAGGAAGGAGAGCAGAGTGTCAGAATCTGAAGGGAGAGAGAAAAATGGTAAAGAAATAGTATTTAAAGACTTCTTATTCTGGATGAGGGCCACTCTGGGGAAAGAAGGGCAGGGGTTTATTTTTTTATTACTGTTTTGATCAGGAGTTTATTTTACTAATCTCTCTGCATTTGTGTATAGCCAAAATTTTTCATAGTAGAAAAAAGTTTCTTGGGATTGCTGGGAAGAACAAGGAATTCCACTTTGTACTGCAGAATAGACAAATACATTAAAATATACAAAATTTCTCAAAAGCAAAAGGCCTTGCCTAAATGCCAGCCAAAGTGTTAAAAGCTTTTTCATGGGAGTGTGTCATTTAGAATTCTCTCAACAATTCTATGAGACTAAAGCTCTTACTGTCCCTATTGTCGAGGGGAAACTGAGGCTCAGAAAAATTAAACTCTGATACCCAGATTTCACGGACTCCTGGTGTGGCGCTGTAAGATCCCACCAGCTGCTCCTCAGAAACCCTAAGAGTCGAGTCCACTCGATTTAACATAACAACTACCCAGATTCACACAAGGAAATAGCTGCACTTCCATGCAGTCTTATGCTTACTGGAGGTCTGAGGACCGGGTAAGGCACTCAGAGTCTCCGTTCTCAATCGAAGCAAACTTCTACAGACCTCGCCGTCTCACTTCCCCACTCTGTGGTTGTCCTTACGACCCCTACCACCATCACCAGACACAACATACACAACCCCAGTCCAAGCGCAGCCGCAATTCAGGGCTGCTCCCTTTCTCTGAAGGAGCTCTGGTAGCGTAGTTGTTACAAATTGGGCTAATCTCAAGATCAGCAGTTCGAAACTACCAACTGTTCCGTGGGAGAAAGAGGAGGCTTTATGCCTTCGTAAAGATTTACAGCATCGGAAACCCTATACCGAGTCTTTATGAGGAAGAACCTACTCCACAGCCCACCTGAGTTGAGTGGGGCTGACCACGGTTTTGGTCCTCTCTCAGGAGAGGCCGCCAGGGGGCGCTGCCAGGGTCGGGCCGGGCCTGGCCGGCTAAGGAAACGTGGGAAACCCACAGCTGCCCAGCAGGTGCCCCTGCCCAGAGCAAACAGAGAGCTCGGAGCCCCGGGGCCTTGAAGATAAGGGTCCAGGCAAGATATATTCCAGCGCAGGGACAGCGGCGCCAGGGTGCGCAGGGATCTGAGGACAGCGGTACTGGCCAGAGGGCAGCGAGCAAGCGGCCATGGACCCTGTGGGGGCAGCAGGTGAGCGTTCCCTCCCGTGGCCCCAGATGCGCCCCTTCAAAATTACGAAAGCACCCCATTTTATGGATGGGAAGGTTGAGTCTCAAGAAGAAGGTGCGCTGAGCTGTAAAGACTGAGCTAGAACCTGGAACCTTGCTTCTACCTCCTGAGCTTCTTGGCGTCTGTTGCTGTTAAGTGGCTGGCAGGGCGTTGGGTCTGGACTCAATGACCCACGTGTTACAGAGTAGAACTTCCCTATAGAGTTCTTGACAGTAATCTTTATGGAAGCCGATCACCAGGTCTTTCTCCCGCATTTGCTGAATGGGTTCACTGTCAACCGTTCCTTCAACAGCCAAGCGCTTAACTGTTGCATCTTGTCCTTCCATTCGCTCTCTTCCTCCCACCTTACTTCACTCCCTCCTCCCACCCCCTCACTGAGGCTGCTTTAGTCATTTCCCTGTTGCAGTTTCTTGGCAGCGAGGGCCAGCTGCCCCTAACCCAACCGCAGCCGTGCCCCACCCCCAATTCCGTGAATGGGCCTATTCTGAGCGGGGTCGGTCCTGCAGCTCCCTCCAGGCGCACTTCCGGTCCCAGATTCCACTCCACCTCCTTTGCCTTTCAGGCCTGGTCCAGGAACAAAAATTCCTCTGGGCAGGCTGACAGTGGGACGGCGACTGAAGCCAGATGTGCCCGCCACTGGGGGGAGCCTTCTCTAACTTTGGCCAAAGCCCAGGCCAGCACCCCTGGAGCGTGGGGATCAAGGCACAGGGGACTTTACCACCGTATCCTTTCCTACTTGCATAAGTCTGTGAACTACCAAAATGTCTTGGCCTGAGCCAACATCACACCTGGCATCCCACCCCACCCCAAGAATCCTAGAAAATCAAAATTGCAACTGCCTCAAAAACCATCACTTCTCCAATTCCCTCAGTCTACGGAGAGAGAAACAGGTCCAGCGAGGGCAGTGTTTCTGCCAAAGTCACACAGCGATTTGGTGGCAGGGAGGAGATGACAATGGGGCTCCTTTGAGGGGTAAATCCTTGGGGTGGAGAAAGTGGACTCTCTCGGGGCAAGGAGGGAATGTCTAATGAATACCTGAGAGTTGCCCGAGCAATGAGCTCCTTGGAGACGTTCCTGGGGGTTTCTGGAGGGGTGAGATTATATAAACCGCCTCTCCCCGGATTTGGAAAGGTCCCAGCAGAAGTAAGGAAGCACTATGGTGAATGGGGGCGTCCTAATGACGATCTCTGGGTCTGGCTTGACGCTTGTTCCACCGCAGGTCCCCCAGTGCCGCCGGGCCCTTTGACTCACCTGAGCCTGCCGGGCAGCTTGGAGATGCGGCAGCAGAACAGAGCCGACGGGCTGAGCCTCCCGGGCACTTGGACCAGGTAACGGCGCGGGCAACGGGCCAGGGGTGAGGACGGCCAGGCAGCTTGAGCGGGCGGAGGCGGCTGCAGCATTTAACCCAGGCTGGAGGGTGGGGAGGGGGAGTGAGGACTGCGACCCCTCCCACTGCAGGGATCGACCCCCGCCCTTCCTCTGAGGGTCGGGGCGGGGCGAATACTGCGCCCCTGGCCCGCCACCCTCCGCGCTACAGACGCGCGCTGTGCGGCCGGAATCCGGCTGCAACTCGAGGCTGGGGTGGCTACACGCTCGGCTGCCGGAATGCGCTGGAAGCCTCCTAGGCGCTTCCCTGAGGAGAGCCCCAAGGGGCGGAGCGGGGCCTGGCTCAGGCGCTGGTTGCCTGGCTCTGCGTCCGAGGGCGCGTCGGGTTCTGGCTGCCTCTGCCCCATCCAAGAGCCTGAGCCCCGGTCTTGCCAAAAACATAAAGGCCCACCTGCTGGTCTCCCCTATCCTTACACGTTCCCTGCATTGACTTAGACCTGAACCCACCCATTTCCACCCATCAAAACCTCCAAGCTGAAACTCCACCAGTCCCTAGGTTCCGGCTTGGCTAACTATGCCCGGCCAAGGGAGACCCCGTGGTCAAGGGAACGAAAGCCAATCTATCAACAGGCCCCCTCTCACGGAAAGAGGGGGATTCTTTAGCCCTAGAAGAAATCAGCGGTTTCCCAGGGTCCTGAGGACACGGTTTAGGAACGCTTCTAGGTTGGGACATCTGCCAGATGGCCGCACACTGAGCTGGTGGAGGGGGTGGGGGCTACCAAAAGCTCGTCCCCATTGGAGTCAAAACCCCGCTAGGGTGCGAAAGTTTTAAACTTCGACCAACACAGTTCCTTCAAGGTGTGGGGAGACCGTGCGCCCTCACTTGCCGTGGGCCCTCCCCCACCCACCGGCACTAATGCAGCTTTTGTACCCGGAGCCAGGCTACAATTGGCACAGAGCCAGGCACGCGGAGAGACGCTTGGCCAGTTCCGGTGGGTTTCGTGCAAGCTTCATTGAGCACCGCGCAGCCCAAATATTTCAAACATTATTTGCCACCCAAGTACCCTCTCTTGCCTACACTTCCTCTCCCGGTCTCCGCGGGGTCTGAACGTCTAGCATCCCACCACCCCCAACCCAATTCCCACTTCCTTTCATTCAACCTGTGCACATAGGGCCATAGGGCGCCGTGTCAGCTCCTCCCTGATCACTCCCAGGTCATCACCAGAGCGTGCAACTGTCCTGCGAGACGGCGTGAGACGATGTCTGCAGCAACAGTGCGAGCAGACGGTGCGGATTCTACACGCCAAGGTGGCCCAGAAATCCTACGGAAATGAGAAGCGGTAGGTGCCTCCGTAGCCCTTCCCAGGTTCACGGAGCTCAGTCCAATGGTACCATTCAGTGGTCAGTGCCTTTTAGACCTCAGGGAGGCCTCAGGACCAAGGCCTGAGGATTGGCCTTGCAGATCACCACCACTAACACTCCCCACTTTGGTCTATACTAGAACCTCTCTGTGAGTCTCTAGTTCCCATTCACACAGTCAGTCAGTCAGTCAACAATTGCTCACTGAGTGTGGTGTCTCAGGCGGTGGTCACTGCTGGGCACAGTGGTTACAGTTGAACAAAACAGACAGAATGCCCATTTGTTAGGTGCTGTTAAGTCAGTTCCAACTCATAGCAAGCCCACGGACACCAGAACAAAACACGGCCTGATGTTGCACTGCGTGGTACTCATACGTGTTATTTATTATGCTTGAGCCCATTGTTGGGGTCATTGCATCAGTCCATCTCATTGACAGTCTTCCTCTTTTTCTCTGACCTTCCACTTTACCAAAAATGATGTCTTTCTCCAGGGACTGACTGGTCCCTCCTAGCAACATGCTCAATGAATCAGAGAAGTCTCCCCATTTTTACTTCCAAGGAGTATTCTGGTTATACTTCTTGCAAGACAGATCTATTCATATTTGTAGCAGTCCATTGTTGTTGTTGTTGTTGTTGTTAAGTGCTGTTGCATTGATTCCAACTCATATCAACCCTGTGTAGGGTTTCCAAGGAGCAGCTAGTGGGTTTGAACCACTGACCTAGCAGTTAGCAGTCCTTAATCCTACAGGGCCACACCAGGATTCTAGCAGTCCATAGCATATGCATATTCTTTGCCATCATCATAATTCATATTCTAAGAGCTCATAAAATCACTTTGGTTCTAGTGTGGGAGAAACAACCAATAAACTCCCCACAAATCAGTAAACAGGGAATCCTGGTGACACAATGATTAAGCATTTGACTATTAACCAAAAGGTCAGAGGTTTAAACCCACCCAACATCTCCCAGGGAGAAAGATCTGGCAATCTGCTCCCATAAAGATTACAGCCTAGGAAACCTTATGGGGCAGTTTTATTTGGCCCTGTGGGTTAATGCGCTGGACTGCAAAGTCAGTTTGAACCACAAGGTCAGCAGTTCAAGCTCACCAGTCGCTCCTCAGAAACCCTATACAGGGTCGCTATGGGTCAGAACCGGCTGTATGGCACTTAACAACAATAACAGTGTCACCACATGTAGGAATCGACTTGACAGCACACAACAGCAACAAATCAGTAAACAAGATACTTCCAAGAGTGTGAGGAGTGCTAGCGAAGAAATAAAACCAGGAAATGTGATAGAAATGGAGGGGGTGTTATGGATTGAATTATGTGCCCCCAAAATATGTTGCAAATCCTACCCTCTATGCCTGTGATTGCAATCCCATTTGGAAATGAGTTGTCTTTTTATGCTAATTAGGCCTGATTAGCATAGGGTTGTTTTGAGTCCATCTCTTTTGAGATATAAAAGAGATTAAACAAATTATCAGAGTTGACATAAGGGAAGAAACATTCCAAACCACATGAAAATCACACAAGAACAGAAGCTCAAAGAGGCAAGGACTTTCCCCTGAGCAAATGGAGAAAGAAAGCCTTCCCCTCAAGCTAGCACCCTGAACTCAGACTTCCAGCCTCCTCAACTGAGAATATCAATTTCAGTTTGTTAAAATCACCCACTTGTGGTATGTCTGCTATAGTAACAGTACATAACTAAGACGGGATGCGTTAGAAAAAGTCAAGTGTTTCAAGTAGATGGGACAGAAAAAATCTTGAGGTTGTTCCAACTTGAGGTGTCAAAAAAAGTCAGAGTGACTGGAATTGATGGAGGGTGAGTTGAAGGAAATAGATTTGGAGAGATAAGCCAATCCATTGGGTTTTCTTGATTGTAATTCAACAGTGCAGATCACCAGTGTTTCTTCCACATTACCTCTCAGTGGGTTCAAACCACCAGCTTTTGGGTAAGCAGTTGAGCACAAACCATTGATTCCACCTGTTGTTATTCTTTAGTGTCACCCAGTCAGTTCTGACTCATAGCAACCCTGTATAGGGTTTCTGAGGAGCAGCTGGTGGGTTTGAATTGCCACCTTGTGGTTCACAGTCCAGTGCTGATCCTACAGCGCCACACCAGGGATGCATGTATATACATGGAGCACACTGTCTCTGTAGGATGAGCACTGGATTGTGAACCACAAGGTCAGTGGTTCAAGCCTGCTAGCCATTACATGAGAGAAAGAAACATATATATATATATATATAGTGGTGGTGGTGTGCCATGGAGTCAGTTCTGGCTCATAGCAACCTGTATAGGGTTTCCGAGGCTATACATCTTTACAGGAGCAGAAAGCCTTCTCTTTCTCCCACGGAACTGGGAACTTCAAATTGCTGACCTTTAGGTTAATAGTCCGACTCGTAACCACTACATTACCAGAGCTCCTTTATACATATGTGTGTGTGTGTGTGCTTTAAAAAGCTCATGGGAAATGGAACTAAAGGAAATTAAAAGTCAACCCTCTGCAACAAAGACATGGGTGACACAGTGAAACAGATTCAGATGGTGATCCTGGAACCCTGGGCATCCAAGGACAGGTCAGGGAGGTGGACTGGGTGTCAGCTGGGAGAGGAAGCTGAACAGGAGCAGTGAGAGAGAAGGAAAAAAAATCGGTGGGCTGTGGGCTACAGGTGGGCAACAAGGGAGTGCAGTTCTCCTTTGTTCCCTGCCCTCCTGGTAGACAGGGGCATGGCTAGTCCCCTGCCATTGACAACCCAGTGGCTGGTGGCATTCCCTTCAGTGCAGTCTCTGCTCTGCCTGGGGTCAAGCTCTTGGAATAGCACCCCAGCTTCTTGAGACGCATGAGCCTACCCTATGCTACACAAACAGTGAACAGAGAACTAATTTCAATCACACATCCAGTCTCTACCACATCCACCAGAAGACAGATGGTGAGTGCCTAGAAAACACTGATATACAATCATCAACTAAATAAGAGTATGATACCACAATGTCTCATAGGAAACTTACAACTTCAGCTTACACAAAGAAACAAGACAGAGTGCTTCAAACAAGTGACCAAAATACAGAGTCAGAAAATATAACACCAGAAATTATATTGGAACTGCCTGATAAGGAATTTAAAAGAATGCTAATGACACAACTTCAACTGATAGAAAGATGGAAAAAAAACTACAGTTGGAATCAAAGAAAACATAGAAAAAACTATGGGGGAGAAAAAAAAAACAGGAAAACAAATTGAAAAAAAATGAGAACCATCCAAAATCAGCAACTAGAAAGTCAGACGAGTAACACTAAGACTTCAGAAATAGATAATACACAAAACTGAGTCAATGGAAAACCGAATGAAAAAACTTAAAGAAAAATCTCTCGATAATCATCTGCTAGAGGAACAGTCTCTGGTAGTGTAGTGGTTACGAATTGGGCTGTGAACCTTAAGGTCAGCAGTTTGAAATTACCAGCTGTTCCACGGGAGAAAGATATAAGGCTTTCTGCTCCCGTAAAGATTTACAGCCTCGGAAACCCTGTACAGGGTCGCTATGAGTTGGAACTGACTCCACGGCACATAATCACTGGAGGAACAGTCAGAAAAAAAGAACACAGAAAATCTGAAGAAAGCCTAAGATTTATTTGGGATACTATCAAGAGTAATTAACAACAACAATGATCAAGAGTAATAATTACATGTAACAGAAATTCCAGAACAGGAAGAGACACACATACACAAAAAAATTATAGAGAATATTGCCCAAGAGTTGTTGAAAGAAAACTTCCCTAAAATCATGAAAGATGTTGACTGACCTCCAAACATGCTAGACTTCAGAAGAATAACATGAAAATATATTATAATCAAACTTTTCAAAACCAAACACAGGGAAAGAATCCCAAGAGCAGCTCAGGAAAATGACAAATGACCTACAAAGGAGACCTAATAAGATAAACTCTGATTTTTCAGCAGAAACCATGCAGGCAAGAAAACAATGGAATGACTTATCTAAAACTTTGAAAGAAAAAAATGGCCAACTAAGAATCCAGCACCTGGCTTCAATGACTGGATGATCAGAGCTCAACTAGAAGAAGAAAGAAGAGGGGGGGAAGAAAGAGTAATCTGATATAATTTGATGAACTTGACCTACACCTATGGATGCAGCAGCTCAAAAAAGGGAACAAATCTTTATAGCGAGGATCATTCCCACCCCCTCCATACACAGAGTAGACAGGGATGGGCAAGTTGGACACTGGCTACCCAAAGTGGGAGGGCTACAAAGGCAAGAAGTGACTGGATTACAAGCTTTCAAGAGGGAACCTTGATCCAGAGGGCATGGAGGAAGGTAGAATCTCCACTGAGAAGTATCCAGTCTGTCTAGGCAGGGCTGATAAAAGGAAATGCAGATAGGTCTCTTGTGATACAATAGTGAATAATTGTTATCAGGACTGATTTTGAGGGTTGGAAATGTAAAGGCAGACGTTTTGTAGCAAAAGGAGGGGAGTGATTGACTTTGCAGTCTGGGAGTGGAGGTCCCTGGGACCATCAAGGGGTAAGAGTGGAGAGCAGGACCCTACCCAGAGAAGCAGTGATACCAGAGATGGAGGCAGAGACAATGACGTGGAGAGATGGAGCAGCTGGGGACTTTAGACCCAAAGAAGGAGAGGGGCTGTGTGCTGACGACTGGGGGGCAGGCTTGCACGGTATACCCTTTGGTTGGTTGATGATGCATGGAGGGAATTGTAACTGTGGCAATGAAACGATATACGATAAAATGAATGTAAAACTAATGTTCTCGCATGTAAACTATCACATAATTCACAATAAAACATTTTTAAAAAACAAAAAAGAATCCAGCAAAGCTGTCCATCAACTAAGATAGTGAAATTAGGTCGTTTTCAGACAAATAGAAATGCAATGAATTTGTAAAAACCAGACCAACCTTACAAAAAAATACTACAGTGAGTTCTTTGGACAGAGAACCAACTACAACAGACAACAACCTGAGACTAATATCATGACAATATCATCTAGACTCAGCCAGGATATGGTTTCTGTTATTATTATTGGTAAGTGCTTTCAAGTCGGTTCTGACTCATAGCAACCCTGTCTAGGGTTTCCAAGGAGCGGTGGTTGGGTTGAAGCTCCAACCTTGTGTTTCAAACCGATCTTTCAGTCCAGTGCATTATCCTGCAGCACACCAGGACTCACCGATAGAGATGTATGCAAAGTAAAACAGACTTCCTAAAAGAGAGAGCCGAGATACAGTTGCAACAATAACAACAAAACACAGAGTAAAGAGCATTTACTCTGTGTTGTTTTTTTTTTAACTGTTTCAGAACTTGCAAATAAGAGAAAATCAAATAGATTTCAAGAAAAGTAAATAAATAAAAATAAATCTAACTGAAACCCTAAAAACTAGACCAAACCTTATCCCTAACACTAACATAGTCCTAACAATAACTCTAACAATAAACCAAGCCCCAGGCCTAGCCATAGCCCCAGCTCTAACCTTCACTCCTTACTCCCAAAATAGATCATGGAATTTCCCCACAAGACTCAAGGGCACTAACAACATCAACGACATGCATACATATAAACTTTTTTTTTTTTTAAGTGATGGAGGTTCTAAGGTGGAAGTGGTAAGAATTCAATGGATTCTGAATGTTTTGATTGTGGACTCACTAATGGGTTGAATAAGAGGTGTGAAAAAAAATTAAGGCAGATGTTAATGGGGTTTACTGTCTTAGTGAAAGGAGCCCTGGCGCATTGGGCTGCTAATCACAACGTTGGCAGTTTAGAACCCCCAGCCATGGGAGAAAGATTAGGCTGTCTGTTCCCTTACATTTTTATAGTCTCAGAAACCCTAAGGAGAAGTTCTACTGGGTCACTGAATCGGAAAGGGCTCGATGGCAGTGGGTGGGTCTTAGAGAAGCCTGGAAGTGGGGTAAAGGAGGAATCAAGTGTTCAGCTGGGTTCTGATGTATTGAGATTCTTAAAGGACAGAGAAGTGAGTAGAGATAGATACAAGAGTCCAGTACTCTCATGTCTCCACAGGTTCTTCTGCCCTCCGCCCTGTGTCTACCTCGCAGGTCCCGGCTGGCGGGTGAAGCCAGTGCAAGGACAAGGTGAGGGCCAACTGAGCCTCAGTGTTGCCGGCCGTCTCCCTCTATACGAAGGAGGAAGGTCCACGCAGCCATTCAGTTATCAAACGCAGCTCGCGCGCCCCCTGGTGGCCAAAACTAGGCTTACCTGGCACCTACGTCCTTTGAGCCCGCTCGCGTCCCTTTCTAGCCCAGCAGGCAGGGGAGCCGGGGCCCATGGTCTGCGGCTACATGGGGCTGGACGGCGCATCCGGCAGCGCCGCCGAGACACAGAAGTTGAATTTCGAGGAGCAGCCGGACTCCAGGGTAAGAACACCTTGGAGGGTGTCCCATTCCTGTGTCTCTCCCTTGGAAAGGAGAGCCAAGAGCGAGGCCTGGAGCTTCTTGTCACCTTCGATGGGACAGACGTCAGTTCCCTAGAGGAGGTTGGTTCAACCCTCAACAGGGGACTGGGATGAGCAGATCTCTCTCCTTGAGCCTGGTAGGAATTTGGTTGTGCCAAGACCCTATTCATCTCGGACGTGGACAAAAGAAAACACTTCCGGCTGGTGCTGAGGCTGGTGCTCCGCGGGGGCCGGGAGCTGGGCACGTTCCACAGCCGCCTCATCAAGGTCATCTCGAAGCCTTCCCAGAAAAAGCAATCGCTGAAGAACACCGACCGTGAGCAGGGGCGATGGAATCGGGCCAGGCAGGGGCCAAGAACGGCCAAAACCTGGACCATGGTGTGGGAGCAAGGCCTAGACCGTGGTGTGGGAGCAAGACCTGGGCTATGGTGTGGGCTCCAGGAGACCTAGCAGGAGGCTGGGCTGAAGGAGGGGTGGAGTCTGGGGAGGGGTTATGGGACCTGAGGGTGGGAATTTGGGGGCAGACAAAGAACAGCAGGTGCTGGACTAGGAAAAGATTTAAACGTGGTAAAAGGCAGAGGAAATATCATTGAACCTACTTACTGAGGCCTTCCGTGGGCGTGGCTCAATGCTAGGTGCTGAAATAGGAGCAGACGTCTATTGTGAAGGAATGTACAGTGTAGCAGAGGAGAGACACCCCAGGAATGGGAGCCTCAAGAATGTGCAAACAGAAATATACCTTAAAAACAACCACAACAGCAACACTGCCACCATAGGGGTGGGAGAGGGGTACCCTGCTGACAAACACTCCCCATGTCCCTGTGAGGCAGGTACTAACTAGCAGTGTGTGTGTTTTATAGGTGAGTAAAGTGAGGTTTGGAACCTCCATCCATTCATTTAAGAAACATTTATCAAGTGCCTGTCACATTCTAGATGCCTTCCCTACAATGGCCCAGCCAGGAAGTGGTCCAGCCAGGATTTGAACTTGGATTGATGTGACTCTTGAGTCCAGCTTCTGCCCCCTACACCACCTTTACTTTCTGTCTGTTAAAAGCCCATATAGATACCTCTGAGCCAGGCAGTTCTCGTACTGGCACTTGGTATCAGGAAAGGGCTTCGGGGAGGGGGTTGGTTTCGTGAGATGGTTCCGAGTGCAAATTCTAGAACCAGGTAGCCTAGGTTTGACTCTTGGCTCTGCCACTTGCTTGCTCTTGAGCAAATTGCTCTGTGTTATATGGAGTTAATAATACTATCTTAGAGGGTCGCTGAGCAAATCAAATGAGTTTATACATTTGGAACAGTGCCTGACACACAGTAATGGATGAGAACTAGGCTAAGCAGAAATTGAGCATCTACGCAAGGTCAGCGGTTCAAACCCACCAGCTGCTCTTCGGAAACCCTATACAGGGTTGCTATGAGTCGGAATCGACTCCAGGGCACTTAACAACAACAACAACAACAAAGTATGGCTAGCATTGAGGGGCGAGAGGAAAAAGACCCAGTGCTTCCTTCCCCAAGTAGCCACAGTCTAGTCAGAAAAGTCAACTGTGGTTCGGAGTGCACATGTTAGACTAGCTGTTGTTGTTGTCTTAGACTAGAGTGTTAGACTAGAGTGACAGATAAAGGCCAAACCCTACTAGTATGGTACTACTGTTTCACACTGCCTGTTCTCTGCTTATGTAGTCCCTTCTGCAACTCCTTACCTACTTCATAACTCAGCTGAGAGCATCACTCCTCCAGGAAGCCCTCCTGGGTTATCAGTCCTTACCACATCATATTGAACATTTATACTTATGTTCCTGTCTCCCTCCAAGACCAGAGAAACAAACAAACAAACAAAACCTACCGGTGTCGAGTTGATGCTGATTTATAGCAATCCTATAGAACAGGAAAAAAACAAAACCGCCCCCAAAGCTCTCCATGGTTGTAATCTTCACCGGAGCAGATGGCCACATCTTTCTACCATACAGCAGCCAATGGAGTCAAAATGCCGACTTTTTGCTTAGCAACAAACCGCTGTACCACCAGGGCTCCCTCTTCCAGGAAAAAAAAAAAAAGCTGTTTCTAATTCACCTTTTGGTGCCCAATATTCAGAACATTGCCTGCTGCAAAGAGACACTTAGCAAATACTTGATAAAAGGCTGATTATTAGATTGAAAGATACTGAGGTATCCAAAAGGAAGAACAAAGGTATGGAAACTGGGCTACAAATGTACTGTGGAATATGAGGACCAAATGGGTCTAGGCCAGTGGGACTCTTAGCCAGGCTGGCACTACAGACAGAAGCCCAGGAATTATCTGGAAAATCCAAGGGACCAAGCCAGGTGGGGCACTGATTCCACCTTCATTCACAGTGTGCATCTCCTCGGGCTCTAAGGTCTCCCTCTTCAACCGCCTGCGCTCCCAGACAGTCTCCACACGCTACCTCTCAGTGGAGGATGGGGCCTTTGTGGCCAGTGCACGCCAGTGGGCCGCCTTCACGCTACACCTGGGTAATGACACCAGCAAGCCCTGGGAAGGGCAGCTTGTATGCATTACTTTACTAAATGGTCACCACAACTCCTCAAGGAGGGTAAACTTGGCCCCAGATGCCTGAGGCTCAGGAATGCAAACAGACATGTCAAAGGCCCCAGGGAGCTGGTGACTGACTCCAACAGCCATGCAGTACCCCCTATTCTCAACTCAGCTGCATGGTCCCAACCCCACTGCAAGAGGCAAACATTTGTGCAGATGGCCACAAATGATCCCTCCAGCATTGGAACCTTCAGTCCTAGCTTGGCCCTGTGTGGCAATCCTAAGCAGAAAGACAGTGTGTGATATGCACGGGACCAGAGGCAGAAAGGGGTAGAAGCCTGGGTCCCTGACATCCTTCTCCTTTCCTTTCTTTTACCCTCAGCTGATGAGAGCTGTTCCCAAGGGGACTTCCCGCCTCGAGAGGGCTACGTCCGCTATGGCTCCCTGGTGCAGCTTGTCTGCACCGTTTCTGGCGTTACACTACCTCCTATGGTATGGAAGAGGAGGCCTCCCACATCCACACCAAAAGCATGACTCCCATGGGCATGAATGGAGACCCATAATATCACTGTGGAGATAATGTGGGGCTGGGTGGAGGAAAAGGGGGCAGGGGACTCTTCCAGAACCCAAAAGGCTATCAGGGTAGCAGAGAGCTGTCTGGGAGGATAGCCTGGGATCCTGGGTACCACTCTTCCTACAACCCTTCTGCTGCAGATCATCCGCAAAGTAGCCAAGCAATGTGCGCTCCTGGATGTGGATGAGCCCATCTCCCAGCTACACAAGTGTGCATTCCAGTTCCCTGGGGGCCCGCCAGGAGGGGCAAGCACCTACCTGTGCCTTGCCACAGAAAAGGTGGTGCAATTCCAGGTGAGTAACAGAGACTATCAGCACTAAGTATCCTAGAAAGTCAGAAAGCAGAGAATCATGCATAGGATGTCAGATCATCAACAGCATCAAAACCAAAGCCATTGCCTACAAACCAATCCCGATTCATAATGACCCTGTGAGACACAGTAGACCTGCCCTGTAGGGATCTTTACAGAAGCAGCCCGCTGCATCATTCTCCCACGGAGGGGCTGGAGGGTTCGAACCTATAAGCACTTAACTACTATACCACCATCATGTTATTGTTAAGTGCCATTGAGTTGGTTCTGACTCATAGCAACCCTGTATAATGTTTCCAAGGAGTGGCTGGTGAGTTTGAACCGCCGACCTTGCTATTCAAATCCATCTTGCAATCCAGTGCTTTACCCCACAGCGCCACACCAGCATGCCACCATCCTAGCTATTACTTACTGAGGAATACTGCCTCTCGTGGAGTGTTAGAATTAGGATAAAATCATGAAATATAAAAAAAAAATCGTAATAATTAATGTGCTTGAGCAATATGCCTTCCCAGAAAATAGTAGCATGTTGGAATGTAGAATTGCACAGAACAACTGCAAATAATAGTTAATATTCTTGAGTAAAGAATATTAGAATCTGCAAATGTCAGGATTAATAATTATCATCATTGGACAATATTTATTACTCACCAAATAGTATTAAGTCAGACTGTTAGAAGATAGAATCATACAGAATATGTAGAAAATATCAATTCTTATAATTATTAAGCAATACCCCCTTCCAAAGAATATTAGAATTCGAGCATTAGGGCATAGGATTGTACACCGTTAGAAACAGAACTCGAAAATGCTAAGAAAACAGTAAGACCTTTAGCAACCTGTTTGTCCAGCAGGTTTGTTTGACTCCATCTCCCAGCTCACCTCATGGCCACCATCCGAATCTCCTGTCCATTTCCCCATCCCCTCCGTCTCCTCCCAGGCCTCCGCCTGCCCCAAGGAGGTGAACCGCGAGTTACTCAATGACAGCTCTTGTTGGACCATCATCGGCACGGAGTCGGTGGAATTCTCCTTCAGCACCAGTCTGGCCTGCACTCGGGAGCCCGTCACCCCCGTGCCCCTCATCAGCACCCTCGAGGTGAGTCCAGGTGCGGGCGTGGGTCCCGCCTGTGCTGGGGGTGGGGGTGCTGGTGAGGGAGTCCAGCGGGCTCCTGGTCTTCTTGCCCTCCTCCCCGCCGCACCGCCATCCTCCCCCAGCTGAGCGGAGGGGGTGACGTGGCCACGCTGGAGCTGCACGGTGAGAACTTCCACGCGGGACTCAAGGTGTGGTTCGGGGATGTGGAGGCCGAAACCATGTACAGGTATAGGGGTGAATCCTGGGTCACGGGTTTTGCATATTACTGGGGCTCACCGCAGGCCTAACCCCGTGCCCGGCCCCCAGGAGCCCGCGGTCCCTGGTGTGCGTGGTACCGGATGTGGCCGCCTTCGGCAGCGACTGGCGCTGGCTGCGCACGCCCATCACAGTGCCTGTGAGCCTGGTGCGCGCCGACGGGCTCTTCTACGCCAGCGCCTTCTCCTTCACCTACACCCCGGAATATAGCCTACGGCCCCGGCCCCAGGGCGCCCCTGAGCCGGCCACCGACACCGACACCGACGCCGACGCGCTCCTGGAGAGCATCCACCACGAGTTCACACGCACCAACTTCCACCTTTTCATCCAGACCTAAGCGGCCTGTGTGGCGTCGCTTTTCTGGGTCCTCTGCCCTGTGCCCTGTTGCTTTGTTGCGGAGATGAAGTCCCTCGCCATAGAAAGCGCCGCAGGTCTTACACAGCTCACTAGTCTCCTGATAAAGACACGTAGACGCAGGCTAAATCATGTTCTCCGTGTGCTGGCTCTCTGACTCTCTCTCTGCCTCAGTCACTTGGTAGATCTCTCTGTTTCTGCCACTGTCTCTCTCGGTTTCTCGCTGTGTGTTACACCGCAGCCACATAGTGAAGGAGCCAAGCCTGGGACATTGACTCAGAAGCAGGTGTGCCAGTTCCTACAAACCACCATGAGGCACAGGTTGGGGACACGTGACTCTGTAAGACAGCGGATCCTCTGTCCTGAAGTGCCAGGTTCTGCCTGGTCACCAGGTCCCACCTGGAGCACCTGCTTTCACTTGAAGGTGTCACCTAGAACACTGGATGTCCTGTGGAGTACAGGGTCCCTCCTTCAGCATAGAGGGTCCTACCTTGGAGGACTGGGTTCCACCCTGGCAGGAGTCGGGCACAGTGCTCCTGTATCTGTTTGCTCTCTGGCCCACAGTTTTGGTGACTGGGCAGGTGGTGAGCACAGGGATTTGCTATCTAACTGTCCACCAGGCCCAGTCGGATGTAGCTTGGGAGTCAGGGACCCCTTTGCTGACTGCAGCGAGTCCCCCCATCCAAGACAAAGACTGATGAGTGTGCTCACCCTCCTGAACAGAAGTGGTTCTCCAGCGCACACCTACCTCTCTTCCCCAACCCCACTTGCTTCCCAGAAAAAGGAACTGCAAGTCTGATGGAGCAGAGAACCTACCTTTCCAACCCTTTCTGGGGGACAAAGCAAGGTTCTGAGGCAGCTGGCATCCCCCAGCCTCTGTTGCTGTCAACTCTGGAAGTGAGTTAGCCAACCAGCCCTCTTCAGCCCAAGCAGGGATATACCGCAGGCCCAGAGACTAACACAAAACTCCTTCAGAACAAAACTTTCCCAAGACAAGCCCAGGCAAAACTCTTGGAATGGACCTGGTAGCACGCTGGGTAAGAGATGAGTCTTTCATGGAGCCCAGGATGGGATCCTAACCCACCCCTGCCTAGTGTATGTTTTACAGGAAAGCAAAGAAAGCCACAAGGTACTGGCTTGGGTTGCTGGAACCAAGATTACAGCTCCCACGAGTGCCAGCTACCTGTACCAACCTCGGTGGTGGTGTACAGGAAAAACTAGCTTGAAATGTGAAGCTGGGGCTCTAAGCTCTGGGCCCTCCTTAACTTCTAAGGGCTCATTTATTTCCAGTAAAACTCCTTCCCCATGGGAGAAATGTTGTAATAACTGCCTCAGTTCCTCTTGGTGATGAGGTCACCCACCAATGAGTTATCACAAGTGCTTACTGACAAACGCTTAAGAAACCCAAGTGTTTCTTCCAAGTGTACTGGTTTCAACCCAAGTGTACTGGTTTCTTCCTCCCCCAATTCACCCTGTTCACATACCCCAGGGACACAGGCCTCTGTTGCTATGTGTATCTAGCAACAATCTAGTAGGCCCTATATTCCTGACAATGGATCATCTAGAGAACTTCTCACACCCAGAACATGGAAAGCCCCATGAGAAAGGGAATAAAGAGAAAGCAGAAGTTGACATTTCCCAGCAGGAAGGAAGTAGGGTTTGTTCTTTGGGTTTTGAATGATTCTGGGCTAAATAAATTCTGTTGTCTGCTATCTGCAGGCTGAAAGCTAGGGTGAGGCGTGAGGCGTGAGGAAGAATCTTGTTCAAAACCCCTTATGGCTCCTGAGGGTAAATTCGTCCTGAGGAATGAAGAGAACACACTGAATTGAGAAATGTCCCTGAAATGAGTACTCACCTCAGGAGGTCATGAGCCCACCATACCCTGGTGATGTTCAAGCAAGAAAGCACTCACCAGAGGCTAACAAGGGCATTCATAGCACATCACGGAGAGAGTGAGGGGACTCAAGGCCTTATTCAGTTCTACCCCAAGAAGTACCTCTGCCGTGTCACAGGCCACCAAGAGCTAGCCTAAGCATGCAGCTGTCTTCTTCACCCCTCAGAGGACCCTAGGTCCTCAGCCAGTTAGGTGTATGCACCTGGTCCCAACTATACACCCACCTGGAGGTTGTGCCTTCCCCAAAACTCCAGTCCTGGCTTATCTCCAAGTTCCAGCTTGTGGCCTTCATCCGTGCCTGAGTCCCCCTAACATGAAGCCCGTCTTCTCCACTCTCTACCCTTTCCTTTGCAGCATCTGATCTCATCGTCATGTCCTGAGCACCCCTCTCCCCTTCTTCCATACTAATTTGTCTCCTCCTCTCCTCTTCATCCACCACAATCTCACCTTTCAGAGCTGGTGTCACCTCCACCAAGATTTCCTCAACTACCCCAGACAGGACTGGCTACATCATTTGTTGGGCCCCAGTTTCAAATGAAATGTGGGTTTCCTCATTCAAATGTATTAGAAAGTTTCAGATAACAACAGCACAGCATGTGGCTCAAGTAACTGCCCAGACTGCAGCCCTGTATTCCCTGGGACGATGTCACCACCCACCCTGGATCACAGGGATTTATGGACATGTCCACTTTACTCTCCACACTGTGCGCTCCAGGTGGAAAGAGGCTCTTACCTCTGCCGGGCCCCTCACAGTGCCTTGCAAATTGGCATGGCTCTCAATAACTAAACTACATTGGTCCCATGAGAGTATTTGTATATTGCGATTGCAACTTTAAACCAGAAGGAGGCACTCTTCCCCTTCCAATAATTGTGCCTTTGGTTATCTGTTTTTAAAGAATTAATTGTTAGGGCCCATAGTGAGAATGTTAACTTTTTTGTGTGGTCTCAGGCTTTACAAACACGGTTCCAGAGCGTATCCAAACACTGTTAACATTCATGTATGGGTAAATGTAGTCCTCTTCTCACTAGAATCACCTTACCATTTGCCCTCAAATCAATTCTGACGCATGCCAACCCTATGCTGACAGAGTAGAGCTATGTTCCAGAGGGGTTTCAATGTTGTTTTTTGGCAAAGGATTGCCAGGCGTTTCTTTCAAGACACCTCTGAGTGAATTCAAACTGCCAACCTTTTTTTTTGTTGTTGTTTTAGCAGCCTAGCACTTAACTATTTGCACCACACCTCACAGCGATTCCAGAGTCACCCAAAGAGCTATAAAAATTACAAATTCGCTCACACCCTGGCCTTCAATTGGGCTAAAGGGTCCTGGTGGTGCAGTGAGTTACGCTTTAAACCCAGCAACCGATCCTAGGGAGAAAGATTTGACAATCTGCTTCTGTAAAGATTCCACCTCAGAAACCCTATGGAGAAGTTCTACTCTGTCCGTAGTGTTGCTATGAGTTGGAATGACTCACTGGCAGTGGGTTTGGGGTCAGTTGAATTAGACTCTGTGAGGATGGAACCCAGTGTCTCTATGGTTCGTAAACGCCCCCAGGTGATTCCACCAAGCAGCCAGGGTTGAGAACCCGTTGCTCTATTCATATGTCTATTTCATCCGTCTAGTCAGCTCTGGTAGCGTAGTGGTTACAAATCGGGCTGCGAACCTTAAGGTCAGCGGTTCGAACCTACTAGCCGCTCCGCGGGAGAAAGATGAGGCTTTCTACTCCCGTAAGGATTTACACCCTCGGAAACCCTGTACAGGGTCGCTATGGGTCGGCTCCGACTCGAAGGCACTTAACAACAACAACAACAACAGTTCTCTCTGAGCCTTAGGAAACTGAGCCTTAGATAGAGACTTGAATCTTGCACTCCTTCAAGCAACTCCGAGCCTCTGAGACTTCTCGTCATCTCACTGCCACAGAGTGGACTCCTGGTGTGGCTCTGTAGGATCAGCACTGGACTGTGAACCCCAAGGTCAGCAGTTCAAACCCACCAGCTGCTCCTTGGAAACCTTTCTACACTGGGTCGTTATGAGTCAGAACCGACTCGACGGCACAACCACCACCACCACCACACTGAAAAAGGAGCCTTGGTAGTGTAGTGAATCACATCAAGGGTGGAGTGTGTGTGTGTTTGTGTTAGGGAGCAGGTGCATAATGAAGATAAGGCCAAAATCTCTGCTTCAAATCTCCTAATTCACCTGCTCTCATTCTGCCTGAAGTGCCAACGTTGTTGTTGTTGTTGTTGCTGTTGTTAAGTGCCTTAGATTGGTTCCGACTCATAGCGACCTTGTACAGGGTTTCCTAGGAGCTGCTGGTCAGCTTGAGCCACCAATCTTGTGGTTCAAACTGACCTTGCAGTCCAGCGCATTAACCCGCAGCGCCACCCCAGTGCCAAGATTAGCAAGCTAGGATTCAGGATTCAGCATTGACTTGGGTTTTCTCTGTCTGACTCTCGCTCATTGTTTCTTTTCAATTAAATTTCTCTAAGAAGAGGAAGTGGTTATAAGCACAGTTTGGGTAAAATTCTCAGAAACCTTCCTGAGGAAAGCTTGTACATCTGGGGGCACAGACCGTGAAGATGGGAGGAGGCAAGCGGCTTTAAGGGAATTGAAACCAATGAGGCCTTGTCTAAAAAGTTTACCCAGGGTCCACACTAACCACACTCACCAAAAACAACCCCAGTCAGGCTTGGCTGTTTTCCCAACCCCAGAGAACAAAGGCAGGAGGGGCAGCGGTGGCATGACAGTGCTTCCTGTGGGTAAGGCTGTAGACACCTGCTGCAGCTGACTGCTGGTCACGGGCCATGAGTTGAGGGAATACAGGGGCAGGCAGAGTTCTGAAGAAATCAGTCTGTGATCGAATTCTTTATGGGCACATCCTGGTTTAAGTGTTGAAGTGGGGTTCCCACCCCACCAATCTCATCTCTAAGCCCATGTCTGGTTCAAAAACGTCCTCCTCACCAATCCTCACCTACCATCAGTGCCTCACCCTGGTGGAGGTATCAGAGATTTGGCTTCAGACCTGGTTCTGTCACTTACTCGCCATTTGACCTTGTTGTCGTTAAGTGCCATTGAGTCAGTTCTGACTCATAGCAACCCTGTATAGGGTTTCTGAGGAGCGGCTGGTAAGCTTGAACTACCGACTTTATGGTTCAAACTGACCTTGCAGTCTAGAGCATTAACCCACAGTAATTGTTACTGGAACAGATTACTAACCCTTTCTGGCAGAGAGCTGATGGGTGTGTTTGAACTGCCAAACTTTCAGTTAGCAGTCAGATGCTTAACCTTTTTGCCACCAGGGTTACTTACAAAACCTCTGGGAGTTTCAATTGCCCTATGTCCAAAACGATATTATCGTATATATCGTAAAACGTGTATATATATAGTTTGTGCAAGGAGCTCTGGTAGTGTAGTGGTTATGAATCAGGATGTAGCTGTTCTAAACTACCAGCTGTTCTGTGGGAGAAAATGAGGTTTTCTACACCCTTAAAGATTATATAGGGTTGCTATGAGTCGGAACCGACTCCACAGCACATCACAATGACGAGGAGTGTGTGTATGTATGTATATATGTATATGTATGCATATATTCATATCCTAATCTACACTGAGTGGACTCCTGGTGTGGCACTGTAGAATAAGCACTGGACTGCTAACTGCAAGGCCAGTGGTTCAAACCCACCACTCCTTGGAAACCCTATACAGGGCCTCTATGAGTCAGAACTGACTCACAGAACTTAACAACAAATGTGTGAGCCTTCTGCAAGACACAAGTGACAAGGACTAGAAACCCACTGAGGCTCCTGAGACTGCAGAAATGCAGAGGGGAAACTTGGAGGGATTTGAGCTAATAAAGACCAGATTTGCTGTGTCACAGAGGACTACAGGGCTGAGTATCCCCCCAGAGATGGGGTATCAGTGTAGTTATGAGTCGACTTTGAAACTTGCCTGCCTGGGTTCAAAATCCCCTCCAGCCCTTGTAAACTGTAGCTTGAGGCAAGTTACTTAACCTCTTATGGTTCAATGATAGAATTCTCACCTTTCAAAGCCCATTCACTTCCTGGGCAATCCACCAGTCCATGGACCCTGGCAGGTTTCTGTGATGCTAAACAAATTTCAAAGGAGTTTACAGTCTACGGTGGACTAGGAAGAAAAGCTTGAATGCCTACTCTGGAAAGCAGCCAATGAAACCCTGTGGGTCACAAGAATCAGATCCACATTGATTATGGAGATGATCCACAACCAGGCAGTGTTTGGTTCCTCCACGCATGGGGTCCACATGAGGCAGGCCCACTCCAGTGCAGCTAGGAATAGCACCGACTTCATAGTTACTGTGATGGTTAAGTGGACTTGTGTGCAAAACACTAGGAATGGGTTCCTGGCCCTCAGTGCCATCTGAGGGTTGGCTGTGACAACTACCACCAGCTCCTCTTTGTCTTTCTCTGGGTAACATGGTGCCCAGCAAGAATCACTCAAGTCCGAAGACCTAGGATTTAGGTCCTAATTGGAAACCCTATTATTATACCAACTCAATGGCACTTAAGAACAACCACTGCACAGCAAAGGAGTCCTGGTGTGATGCTCTTGGCTAAGCACTGGACTGCTAACAGCAAGGCTGGTAGTTCAAACCTATCAGTCACTCCGGGAACCCTATAGGGTGGCTGGCTATGAGTTGGAGCTGACTCAATGGCACATAGCAACCTTGTTACTATGGTCCCAGGATAGGTTTGCATTCAACTACTAACCTAAATATTGGGCGTTTGAACCCACCCAGTAGTCCTGCAGAAGATCTATAAGCTTCCATAAAGCTTCCAGCCAAGAATGCCCTATGGAGCTGTTTGACGTTTACTCAAATAGGTTTAGCACAGGTCAGAATCAAGGAGCTCTGGTAGTATAGTGGTTACAAATTGGGCTGCGAACCGCAAGGTCAGCAGTTCAAAACTACTAGCTGTTCCGCGGGAGAAAGATGAGGCTTTCTGCTCCGAAACCCTGTACAGGGTCGCTATGAGTCCACGGCACATAACAACAACACGAGTCAGAATCAATTGGATAACAACAGGTTTCTTTTTTTTTTTCTGGCTACGTCCTCGTGTGGTGCTGTGTGTTAAAGTGCTGGACTGCAAAGTCAGTTCGAACTGTAAGGCTGGTAGTTCAAGTTCACCAGCCATTCCTCAGAAACCCTATATAGGGTCACTATGGGTCAGAACCAACTCAATGGGCACTAACAACAATACAGACTCTATAGGGTCCTGGTGTCACGCCAGAGGATAAGCACTTGACCTCAAGGTCAGTTTGAATTGCAAGGTCTGTGCTTCAAACTTACCAGCGGCTCCTCGGAAACCCTGTACAAGGTCACTAAGAGTCGGAACCGACTGGATAGCACACAGGGCAGATCTTGATTTCTGAATCCTCAGCCTCCCCTGCCCCCACCCAAGAGAAGTAGATTCTGGATTCTTTCAGGAAGTGCCCTAATTTTTATAGTTGGCAACTCATTCAAAGATATTTGTGTTTGTTTTTTTTAAACACAGTGCAAGTTAGACAGAACACTGAGGGAGGCGCGATACACCCTCAGGCCACCAGCTTGCAGAGTCTGGCTTCTACCCCCCTAACCCCTCCTAGCTGCTTAGATCTTTGCCCCTCCTTTCTGGCAACCCAGAGGGGGAATTCTCTCTGGCTCCACTGAGATCAAGGGGTACAGAGACTACAGATGGAGTCTTTAAAATGACAGGCATTTAGTTTAATTAGGGAAAGGCCATCTGCCTTGAATATTGTGCTCTTTAAAGAACTATGGGTTAGAGATCAAATTATCAACAGCAATTCGAAAGGTCACACAAGCAGGTTGGTGGGCAGTGAGTTTATGTTAATGGCAGAGGAGCAATTTGGAAAAAGTGGGTAAGAAAGGGTGGCATCACAATTTGCAAAATGTAATGTCACTGAATTGTACATGCATGCAGAAACTGTCCAATGGGTACATTTTCTGTTATGCATGTTTTCAACAATAAAGATTTTTTAAAAAAGACAGAGGCAGATGATCTAGAAAGTACCAGGTTTTTATTATCTTTTTATCAAAAAATCAGTAACAGACAACAGTGTGAGAGGTGTCTACAGAGGAGGTGCTCGCTCCCAACACAGCCTCAGGAAAAGGGGGAGGAGAGCGGAAGAGGACCCAGCCAGCTGGGAGCTCATTCATGATCACTGGAGAGAGAAGGGGAGGGTGCTCTCCCTAATCCCAGCCAGTGGGGTCAAGGAAAAGCATGGCTGCCCAGGCCTCTCCTCTCCAGAGGAAGATCCCAGGTGACAAGCTCCAGGTGAGGCCTAATCAGTCCCCACCCACTCTGCACCCTCCACCCTTGCCCAGGGAGGCAAGGGTCATCCCAGCAAAGCTGGAGCTATAACTTGTTAAGCCAGCTTAGTCCTCTAGGCAGCACTGTCCACTAGATGCACATTCAGAAGCCACTGGCCCTGTATGTGTGACAACCAAGCCCATAAAATGCAGCTAGTATGGCCAAAGAATTGCATTTTGGACTTCATGCAATTTTAACTGATTGAAATTTAAATAGCTACACGTGGCCTGTGGTTACCATATTGGCCAATCCAGTTTAGAGGTGGAAGAAAGCAAACCAAGGAACAGCAGCTGTGCACAAACAGAAAGAGGGCTAATGTGTCAGCCCTCAACTGTTCCAACCCCATCGAAAAACGAAAAACGAAAAGGTACCAGGAATGGCATAAGAAAGGGCTAAGAGTAACAGGCAAAAACCCACCCAGTCACACAGAAGCCACTTGTTCAACCACCCAGCCAACTTCCAACAGAAACGATCATACTATTTCCTGAAAAAATATGTTTATCTATTTTTCTAGAACCCAGGAAGAAGAAGAATATATTACAAGAAGAGAGACACAAATATCCCATTATACCCCTTCATTATATGTTGTGATCTACTAGAAAACTTATGTTTTAGCAAAAAACTACTCTTTTTTAGACAAAGCAGTCTCAAAAAGGGCCAAAGTTCATGGGCAATGTGAAGTTTTAAAAAAAACTGGGCAGAGTTTATAGAGGAGGAATGGCCCTATCTGAAGCTATAAATAATAAAAAAAAATATTAATAAAAATCATATCTCCGGCTCTTCTCTCATTTTCGAAAAACAAACAAAACAAAAACACATTAAATACAGACTTAGCACATTCTTGCCCAGGTAGAGACACTGCATGAAGGAATGAACCCAACAGAAAATAAAAATAAACCCTACTAAAAATAGGTCTATAACCATTCTACAAATCCATTTCAGTAGGAATTTTCAGTTCTTCCCCTTCATCTTCCCTCCCTCCCCCCCAAAAAAAAAAAAAAAAATCAAACAAAAAAGAAGATTGGTTTCCAAGTCACTTGAAAGAGCCCAGAACGGCCCAAGGTATACCACAGCGAATCCTGTAGTTGGATCACAAGACCCTGTGTGATTGTGACAGATGACACATCTCACAGTGCGCCTGGTTCTAGTTCCTTAGTTCCTTCTCCCAAGGAAGGCTGCTAGGGGGCACGCCTCCAGCCAGGACCCATACCACACCAGTGGGCCCCTTAGCTTCTGAGGGCTCTGGATGGGGAATGCATTCAGGCAAAGTTCTAAGCTGGTTTTAGGTCCTAGGCTCTAAGCCAGAAGGTTAAGAAATAATCCAATCCTCAGGCTGCTTTCAGAAAGGCCAAGTTTAACCCCATTTTTCTACAGGGGCAACTGAGGCCGAGAATGGAGAAGAGCCAGGCAGGAACAGCAGAAGATAAGTGTTTTGTCTTCTGACATCAAAACATGATCAGAGCTGGAGATACTGATAAATCCGTATTAGATTGACCTCCCCCTACCCTAATGTCCACCCTTCCCAGTCCTCAAGCTTCCCTCCCCACACGGTCCAAGCTCCTGCCCCTGGAAGCTTCATGCGTAGAACTCATTGGTGGGGGCTTTTTTGTAGATGGGTTTCTTGCCCAAGTCATAGCTGCCTTCGTCCTTCTTCTTCATGCGGTATACCAGCAGCAGGACCAAGAATGTGGCAAAGAGAATGCCCACGACGCCACCCACGATCAGAGCTGGAGAAAAAGAGAGCAAAATGAGGGTCCAAGTCACTCAAAGTGGGCCTTAGACATCCCCTGTTATGGATGGAATTGTGTCTCCAAAAATATGTTGTAAATCCTAACCCCTCTGGTTATAATCCCACAAGGAAAGAGGTTTTCTTTTTCTTTGTTATGTTGAAAAAGGCCCTATCAGTATTGTTGTCGGTTCTAACCCATAGCAACCCTGTATAGGTTTCTGGAGGAGCGGCTGTTGGGTTTGTTACCCTGCAGCGCCATGCCAGGACTCCCTAACAATACAGGGTGTGTTCTAAGTCAATCTCTTTTGAGATATAAAAAAGCACACTAGGCAAGCAGAGTGCACAGAAAGCCCTCCCCTGATACCAGAGCTCGGAATTCAACTGGTTTGTTATAGCCACCTACTTGATGTAGCAGCACTGAAGACAATGAATTCTCTTAACAACTTGACCTCCTCACTATCACTGCCTGGGACAGGCCTTCCAGGCTTTATTTAAGTTGATCCTTACAGTCTGTTCAAGTCCAAAGCTGAGGCTCTTTTTAAACACCAGGAAGCTAGGAAAATCACAGGCTGGGGAAATCCCTCTAGACATACTTATCCTGTGATACTTACTGCAACGCTAGCTAGCTCTCCCTGTGTTCATTCAGAGCCAACATAAACCTTCACTTGTATATTGATGTTGTTAAGTGCCTTCAAGTCAGTTCTGACTCATAGCAACTCTGTAGAGGGTTTCCAAGGAGCAGCTAGTGAATTTGAACCCCCCAATCTTGCAGTTCAAACCAACCTTGAGGCTGAGTGCTTATCCTATGGCGCTATACCAGGATGCATCACATGCAAGCAAGAGGGACTTCAAAAAGTTGGTGGGAAAAGTCCATTCATGTTTTCATCCCGTTTTCCCATGAACTTTTTGAAGCTCCCTCATATACTATGCTAATATTATTAGTATTGACTAAGATAGAAGTGGGGTTTAGAGATGAGGTCCCTGGTGGTGGTATAAATAGCTATTCTCATGTACAGCTAGTGATCTAGGGTCTCCCTCTACACTCTCCCCTCACTTACTGGCTGTGTGATCCTGGGTAGGTTCCTTCAAGTTCTCTCATTGCAAAACAGAAAGAGTATCTCACAGGTTTGTCATAAAGATGAAAAAGTTAAACCACTTTAAAGTGCTTACAACAGGGTCTACCACATAGCATATGCTCGAAAGCCATGTTATGTAAACCTCTGCAGTTTACATTTGTGTTCTTAACATCCTGAAAGGAACCGTAGTGGAGTAATGGTTAAGCACGCAGCTGCTAATCACGAGGTTAACATTTGGAACCCATACTGTGACTCCAGGAAAGAAAGACCTGGTGGATCTGCTTCTGTAAGGATTGTTGTTGTTGTTGTAAGTGCCGTCGAGTCAATTCTGACTCATAGTGACCCTGTATAGGGTTTCTGAGGAGCAGCTGGTAAGCTTGAACCACCAACCTTGTGGTCCAAAACAACCTTGCAGTCCAGCGCATTAACCCACAGAGCCACACCAGGACTCCTAGTAAAACCTATGGATGAATAATCAACCATTTGAAATCAAAAGGGCAGCATTTGCCTAAGGACAAAGTTTAGAAGGGTGAGGAGTGGAGGAAGGGAACGGGAAGAAGCACAGGGAGGAAGTAGAATAAGTGTTGTTACATTGTGGGAACTGCAATCAATGATGTGAAGTAAAATGTGTATGAACTGGTGAATGGAAAACGCATTTGCTCTGTTAATTGTCACCAATTCACAATAAAAAGACTAAAAAAAAAAAATAGGGAAGGAAGAGAGTTGTATGGCGTGGTTCTCTATTTCATGGGGCTGCTATGAGTCAGAATCAACTCAAAGGCACCCAACATCAGCACCCTAAATTGGGCTTGCCACACAGTAACTGCTTAATAAATGACACCAACAAGTGAGCTCAGAGCAGTGCCTAAGGGATCCAGCTAGCGGGCTAGCGGGGGCCTCAACACGCAGGTGTCTTTCAGCATAACGCTGTTCTCTCCACTAGACCAGGTGGTCTGAATGGCTCCTACCTGTGTGCTGTGGGGGCAGGGAGCTAGGATCCTAGGATCCTTTCTGTAGCAGATTGAGTGCCCTAATTCAGTCTTACTCAGGCTAAGAAGATTATTTTTCTATCCTGCATACACTGGGAAGTCCATAAACAGAATGGTGGCCGGCTGGCACAGAGGAGTCTGAGAAGGTCCTTTCTGGGCTCCAGTTCTATTAAATAGTAGCCACCAAATGCCCCTAAAGTGCCTTCCAGAGTGGTCAGCAAAAATCAGGCATCCCCTTCACTCCTGTCTCCATCACCTTTCCTTCCAATGAGCCCAGCTCCTCCATGAAGCCCTTGATCTCGCTGGGACTGCTCACAGGATCAAGGTATACCATGTCTGGCTCTGTGACCTTGGACAAGTTATTTCCTTATCTGTAAGAGCATTGATAGCCATATCTGCCTGATAAGGCTGTGGTGGGTACGTAGTGAGGACATAGGCATCATGTATATATCACAAGGTATGCAGTAAGCATCTGATAACTCCAAGCTGTACGTTAGAAACGACTGGAATGGAAGGCCCCACCTCAGCTGGCTCAACAACACAACTTTTTACTTGAAGATCTTGGATTTATATGATTCTACACTGGAAAGAACCAAGGGATGACCTGGCTTCAGTTCTGTTACTTGCTCTGTGGCCCACACCAAGCAGTTTGCTTTCTCTGGTCTTCAGTCTCCCTATGTGTAAGAAACAGCAGCTTAGATGAGATCAATGGACCTACAATTTTTCTTTAAAAGTAGCAGAAACCCTTCTCGGTTGAAGTGAAACCTCATGCAAATCCTAAGCATGCCAGCTAAAAGCAAAACTCTGTGGTTGAATTAAAGTGGGAAAGACTTTACTCCTAAAATCCCTATAGGTTTGAAGCCTAGAAGGTTTGTGTGAGGTTACCACTGAGGTGATTTCAGTCCAGTACTTAACCATCGGCACCACCAAGACACCGATCTATAAGACCAGAGGGTCTTGAAGCACCTCCCACCCCACCCCACACTGCACAGGAAGTAGTGAAAGACAGCTCAAGAGAACACTGGCTTAGAACCCAGTGTTTTCATTGAAAGTTTTCCTTTCAATGAAAATCAAACCTTCAAAGGCCAAACACTTAACCTCTTTTACCCTCAGTTTCCTACTGTCACGTGAAGATACCCATATCAAAGGTCAATGAGGATTAAACAACAGAAACTTGCAAACCACAACAACTCTTTATGGTTTAACAAGCTGTTTCATATTCTGTTTTTCAATGACACGAGCCACCAAATATCATGGTGCCCATTTAACAACTGAGGGAACAGAGGCCCGTGGAGTTCAAAAGGCTCCCTTAGGTCCCAAGACTAGCAAGTAAGAGAGCCTGGTAGGGGAAGCCAACTCTATTTTAAGGAACCCCAAGACTTTCAAAGGAAATCATTTTTCATGATTAACTTCCAGGTTGCTAACCCAGGGCTGTGAAAGTACTTTGAAGAGCAGCAAGAAAGGCTTAAAGCAAGTGAATGCCTCTGGACTAGTCCTTAGAAGCTTCTGATACGCAATTCCTCCCTCCTCTCTCTACCAGGCTGCAGCCAGCCAGTTATTGTCTCTAAGTTGATTCTGACTCTTGGCGGCCTCATGTGTAGAGTGGGGACTGCTCCCTGGGGTTTTCAAGGCTGTGATCTTTCAGAAGAATATCGCCAGCCAGGTGTGTCTTTTGAGGTGTCTCTGGGTGAGTTAGAGGCACCAACCTTTCAGCTCGAAGTGGAGTTCCACAGCTAGAGCAACCCTTTAAGAACAGTTATACCCCTCCAGTGCCCTAGTGCACCCCCAACTGGTACTACAAAAAAAGGAGTCTCAAGGCCAGGGCCAGCCCTGCCTGTAAACTCCATCTGTCAAGGTAGGGCAGCATGGGCTCTCACCTGCCAGGACCTCTGTCCTCTCAAAAATGCCACCACCCTGGACAGTGCTGGACATGGACACCCTGTTGGACACGTCCTCATCACCATCAAAGGGCGCAATCCTCTTGGGGATGACCTCATTCTCCTCCAGCTCCTTGGGGTCAGAGGGGACCCGGTTCACAGGCCCTGTCCTCTCAGGAATGTGGTTATCTAGAGGCACCTGGATAGAAAGAAATGGGGAGAAAGAGATGAAGACTCATCCCAGGTTGAGGAGGCCCCAGGACAGGAGACAAAGAGAAAAGGGTCATCTCTCAGACTGCATTTTGAGGCAGCTTGCTCTTTAAGGCAGCAATTTTGCTTCTAGGACTCCATTCTAAGCAAATAGTCAAGTAGACATCTAAAAGATACTCGCTGCCATGCTATAACTTTAAAATGCCAAAAATTTATAAATGTTTCCACCAATAAAGGGACCTAGGTAAACTACTGTGCATAAGAATGAATAAGAGTCTTATGATTCAATAGTGAGTAATTGTTATCATGACTAATTTAGATTGTCACAACTGTAAAGGTAGAAATTTTGCAACATAAAAGGGGGAGTAGTAAATCTTATAGTCCAGAAACAGAGGATCCTAGGTCCATCAAGGGAGAAGAGCACGAATGGAATGTGGGACCCTTTCCAGAGAAGCAGCAACACCAGAGATGGAGGCAGAGATGAGGACATGGAGAGATAGAGCAGCTGAGAACTCTAGATTCATGGGAAGAGAAAGGCTGTGTGCTGGTGGCCAGGAGGCTGGCTGGCTTACAAAACGTGCCCTTTGGTTGTTTAAGTGATTATACGTTCCTGAGTGTTTTTGTGTACATCAAACAAACAAACAAACAAAAAAACCAGAGGGAATGGAAGCAAATACTGTTGAATGATGATGCATGGAGGGGACTGTAATCATTGCAAATGAAACAAGTGTAAAACCAATGTTCTCCCATGTAAACTGTCACTCAATTCACAATAAAAACTTTAAAAAGATACAGAATGAATTTGAATGTTTAATGGCATGCAGAGATTCTCATGGGTGACACAGGTGAAGAATGCAGTTCACAGAACTCTAATTTGGCATCTGTGATAGCAAAGAGCTACAAACGCACAGGTAAGGGGCTGGTTGGATACTTATCTCTGGGAGTGGATGATCTACCTGTGACCCACAGTTGCTCTTGTCCTAAAATGAGCCCAAGGTCACAGATGAAAGCCTTTGTGCAGAGTGAAGTCAGACCCCCTCAAGTACTCTGCCCATTTGGGGGCTGTATTTTCTGCCTCTCTCAATAGGTATGTCATAGAAGAGCAAGGAGGAAAGCAGGGGGGATAAGAGCTTGTGTGGAGCCACTTACCAAGGGTTGGATGACTCTGACTTTAGGGGAGAGTCTGGGGTCCTCTGAGTCATCTGCTGGGTGAGAAGGGCAATGTGTTAGGTAGGTTACCTCAGGTAATGATCCCTTCAGCCATGGCTGAGGGAAAATCCAAAATTACAAGCAATTTCCAAACACTTAATATCCAGAGAGTGACCATGTCCTCCCAAAGCAGCCTCAGTTGTCTCATCTGTAAAATGGGACTCCTAAGACCTGCCTGCCTGCCTGGCTCTGTTTAAGGAGGAGGTGTCTGTGAGCTGGTGTTTGTCAGATCTATAAAGTGTGGGTCCATGGGCCAACAGCATCACCTTATTGTTGTTAGGCTCAGACTCACAGTGACCGTATGCACAACAAAAACAAAACACCACCTCACAATGATTACATCTGAGCTCACCTCTTCAATCAGAATCTGCATTTTTAACAAGAGCCCCAGGGGATTAAAGTTTGAGAAGCACAGTTCTAAATTATACACCTTATGTATGAAAACATTTCCTGTGTGACTGAGAGAGCTTGACCTCAGCTCAGAACCTTACAACGCTTATGGTCTATCATTATTACTCCCATTTTAGAAATTAGGAAACTGAGGCTCAGTAGTTACAAAGTGCAGAAGTTAGACTAAGGACGGTGTGACTCCAAAGCTCAAACTCTAAACTGTTTATTACATCAGCAGATATCATATTCTCAGTAGCTCTCTTTGGTCCCAAAGCCAGTCACAAAAAGATCTGGCCTATCCTCACCTCCCAGTGAAGCAGAGACTTACTTGTCATTCCCCTCTCCCACCTCTGCCCACACAGCCTTGTGTCTCCTGAGCTGGTACTTTTCTTTCCAAAGGAAGAAATCACAACTAGTTGTCATTCGCAACCCTCACCTTATCCTGACACCCGCTTAGACCTCCACCACGCCCTCATGCTAAAAGAGGCTACCTACAAGGTCCACTAGCGCTGCAAACTGACACAAAACAGACAGCTTGCCCTGGAAGGGTCTCGAGAATGGAAAGGGTTAATCCAGTTCCTTCTATTTCCCCTATTTTGAGGGGGAGAAGGGAGGGACAAGGCTGGAAAATTTCCAGTTAATCCTCAAGACATGGTCACCATTCCCTTCAGCCCTGCCCACCACACCTTCCGTACCCAGATCTCCAGAGCCTGACAGCTCAAAGTCATCGGGTTCCTGCCCAGGACCCCCAATATCCTCATCATCCGGCAATACTCCAGAGAAGTATCGGCTTCCTAGCAGGTCCTTGGGGTCGATGACTTCGGTCTCTCGGATCTAGGGGTGATAAAAAGGAGACAACACATCAACCAACAGCCCCCTGGTTTCTGCAACAGTCTTTGAACCCCCAAAAGCAAGAGTGGGAACAAAGAAGATAACCCAGGGTGAAAGGCCTTGGCCTGGATCCTGCTCTGCCCCTAACTTGTTGTGTAACCTTAGGCAAGTCTTTTCCATTCTGAGTTTTAACAAAAATAACAGAAACCCAATTCAAAGCCGCTCCAACTCAGCGATCCTACAGAACAGAGTAGAACTGCCCCATAGGGTTTCCACGGCATAAATCTTTACGGAAGCAGACTGCCACATCTCACTCCCTTCAAAATGGCTAATGGGTTTAACTACCACCTCTAACCATGGTGCTTTAACCACAGGGCCTGACTCCAGTGTTCACCAATAAAAATAAAGAGAGTAATCAAAATGTAAATAGACAGTAATAATCAAACTGTCAATATGACTTGCTGTTAAGTCCCACGGGAGTGGTTCTGACTCATCACAACCCTGTATAGGGTTTCCGAGGAGCAGCTGGTGGGTTTGAACTGCTGACCTTGTGGTTCGCAGTCCAGCACTGATCCACAGTGCTTATTGAGCACGTACTATGTGACACAACTAGATAGCAGAGGAATGAGCATCTAAGGTAGGAGTACTCCAGAGTCACACAGGCCGGTTCCTGTGCTGTAGTCAAAGCTCATTCATACCCAGCAGGGAGAGGGCTACTGTTGCCTTTGGTCCTGCGAAGCCCAGGACACCTTTCCCAGCTGAGTCAGACTGGGCTGGAACGGCAGGCAGGACTAGCTCACCCATGTCCAAGGACACTCTTAGGTCAGGGTGGGGCCCAGGCCTGGTGACTCAAGAGTATCTAAGTTGTTGTTGTTGTTGTTGTTGTTGTTGTTGTTAGGTGCTGACTCACAGAGACCCTGTGTACAACAGAACAAAATATTGCACAGTTCTGCACCATCCTCACAATTGTTGCTGTTTGAGCCCAATGTTGCAGCCACTGGGTCAACCCATCTCTGTAAAGGTCTTCTTCATTGACCCTTTACCAACCACCATGTTTTTCTCCAGGGGACTGGTTCCTCACGATAACATACCCAACGTACGTGAAAGAAAGTCTAGTTCACCCTGCTACCTTCTAAGGACAATTCTTCTGACTGTATTTCTTCCAACACTGATTTGTTTGTTCTTCTGGCAGTCCACGGTACTTTGAATATTCTTCACTAACACCATAATCCAAGTGCTTCTACTCTTCTCAAGTCTTCCTTACTCATTGTTCCAACTCTCACATGCATATGTTATTGTTTTGTTGTTATGTGCCATGGCGGCGGTTCCGACTCATAGCGACCCTGTACAGGGTTTCCGAGGCTGTAAATCTTTACGGGAGCAGAAAGCCTCATCCTTCTCCTGCGGAACAGCTGGTAGTTTTGAACTGCTGACCCTGAGGTTAGCAGCCTGATTCGTAACCTCGCATGCATATGAGGTCATGGAAAATACTATGGCTTAGATCAGGCACAACTTAGTCCTCAAAGTAAAGTCTTTGCTTTTTAACATTTTAAAGAGGTGTTTTGCAGCAGATTTGACCAATGCAATTCACCATTTGATTTCTTGACAACTGTTTCCATGAGTGTTGATTGTGGATCCAAGTAAAATGAAATCCTTCAATATTTATATTTTCTCTTGATGCTACTCGCCAGTCTGGTTGTAAAGAATTTTTCTTTATGTTGAAGGTCTTTGAACTTCATTATTAAGTGCTTCAAGTCCTCTTCACTTGGAGCAAGCAAGGCTATGTCATCTGCATATCACAGGTTTTAAATTAGTCTTTCAAACAGCTATTTAAATAGACTGGAATACTGGTGTGGTGCTATAGAATAAGCACTGTACTGCTAACCCCAAGGAATCTGTTGTGGTAACCGTAGGATAAACTATTGGGGGTAGTTCAAACCCAGCCACTCCTTGGAAACCCTATACACGGTTGCTATGAGTTGGAACCAACTCAACAGCACGCAACAACAACAGCTAACTCTAGAGCTGGCAGGCCAGTGGTCTGCCACCAGCCACTCCTGCGAAACCCTATACACAAGGTCTCTGTGACTCAGAACCAACCTGACACCACTCAACAACAATTCAAATAGACTATTCTGGGCTGGCACCTCACAAACCATTCCACTCCAGCACCCTCAGTCTCCCACTCCAGTGAAGACCCAGCTTATTACAGAAGAATCTTCAGTCTACCCCACCAGTAAGTTTTTAGGAGGAAAGAATTAGTAGCCAAAGGCAGGACAGAACTTTCACAAAGCCCTGTTAGAGAACAAGTGACAATTGCTGCTCCCTTTCCCTAGCTCAGCCTGGTGGGGGCAGGAGGTGTAGAAAACATTCAGAATGCGCACAATGTCTTCACCAGCTTCTAGGCTCAGGTGTCTATCTGCCAGCAGCTGCCAACCAAGGTCATTATTTCACTAATTAATGCAAATACTAAAATACCTACGATTTGTCACAAGAGTTGGGGCTTTTAATTAAACTTAAGTGGATTCAGCCAGTGGTGTGGAAGATTAGTGAGCCTCAAAGCTAGAGTGAAAAGGATCTGGGCCCGGCCCATGTCTGCCAGTGAGATGGGGGAGTCTACAAGAAATATCCGAGGCTAGAACAAGGTTAAGGAGCTCTGGTCACCGTCAGCAGTTCGAAACTTCCAGCTGTTCAGCAGGAGAAATATGAGGCTTTCTGCTCCCATAAAGATTTACAGCTTCGGAAACCCTGTACAGGGTCGCTATGAGTCGGCTCCACGGCACACAACAACAACAATAACAAGGACAAGGTTATCATAGCAGGAAAGCCTCAGGAAGGCCGCTTCCGAGGCCAGGCCAGGCTCCTCCTGCATCTCCCCACTCCTGGCTTCCGGGGAGAGGGGGCGGAACCCGACTAACATGCCCTCTTCCACCTCCACAGGCTGGGTTCCCAAAAGAGGACCGGAAAGCAGTAAGCAGGCGCCCCCCATGTTCCCAGGCAGAGGAATCTGCTGAGCGCTGGGCACCGTGGGGGTGGGGAGCCAGAAGGGGTTAAGGCCCGGCTTGGGATGACTTCATGACTCCGGAATCAGGAGCGGTTGAGCAGCTAGCGCTGGAATTCCAGCTCCAGCCCCACGCTCCACACAGCCCGTGCCTGTGGTCTCAGTTTGGCAGCTCGGAAGGAGGACTCCTCCGTGGTTTCATATTCTTCGTGATTACACAATCTGCCTTACCTAGGTTGAGGTTCCTGGACTCCAACCCCCCTCTCCTGCTGCAGATGGCTTCGGAAACCCAGAATCTAAAACTGCAGGAACCTGTGGTTTGCCAAGCATTGTTTTTGTTAAATGGGTTCCGACTCATAGGGACACTGTATAGCGTTTCTAAGGAGTGGCTGGTGGGTTTGAACCTTGCGGTTAGCAGTCCAGTGTGTATCCTACATCGGAATTTTTAATAGACCTGTTTTTCAAAGGTGGAGCATGCCCTGGTGGCACAATCATTAAACATTCTGCTTTGAAAGGTTGGCGGTTCGAACCCACCGGGAAAAATCCCTGAGCTAAAAATCTGGCAATCTGCTCCCATAAAGGCTGCAGCTTAGAAAATCCTATGGGACAGGGACTCCTGGCATGGCACTATTATAGAATCAGCACTGGACTGGAAACCACAAGGTCAGCACTTCAAACCCACCAGTTGCTCCTTGGAAGCCCTATACAGGGCGGCTATGAATGGAACCCGACTTGAAGGCACTAAACAACATGAATCACAAGAGACTACAAGGCACCTAAACATCAACAATGAAGAGATGGAAAAGGGAAGGACTCAGGAGATTACAGTGACTTGTACAAGGTCACAACAGGAGGTAGAAAGTGGCCTCCCTGAACAGACCCCAAGCCTGGGTCACCTGTGCTTTTTACTGCACACACATAAACCCATGCTTGAGCACCGTGTACCCACCGTGTACCCAGAGCTGCCAGGCTGCCCCGGCCCTCAGTAGGGTTGCATCCATTGTGGGATGAGGGAACCCTGGTCACTGGCAATAAGAGTCAAAGCTCAAAGTCTCAAGGCAGGGGTTGGAGTTCCAGGACCCAGCTCTCCTCAGAAGAGACCCTCCCTACCCTTCTTGGCATACCCAGAAGCCAGGAATGCTGTTGACAAATTTTTCCTTTTAGTATGTGAAAGTGCTAAGGGGTGTTTCAAAACAACCCAAGGGATTAGCAGGCTGATTGGCTGATTATAATTACTTCCCTTTTCAAGTTAAGAAATGAGGTATACCAGAAGGATGTTGTGAAGAGCAAGCAGCCAAGTGTCAGCCCACAATACGCAACACACCATTTATTCCCAGCTCAGCGCTCTTTGTAGGAGCCTGGACATCCCCAAACCTTCGCTTTTCATATGGGGTTCTTAAGAGAAGGGGAACGATTTGTCTAAAGTCATACTTGAAGTCAGAAGCACAGTCAGAATTAGACGCTATTTCAGGACCCTAAAAGGACACACACAAAAATACAAAATAATTTATTCTGACTCACAGCGACCCCGTGTGTTACAGAGAAGAAATGTCCATAGGGTTTTCTTGGTTATCATCTGCTGAGTGGGTTTGAACTGCTAACATTCAGGCTAGTAATGGAGCAAGAACATAGGGACCGCCTAAAAAGCCCTTAGAATCCCACATGTGAACCTAGAAGATTTCCCTGCTACAGCACAGGAGGTTGGATGAAGCTTCGTGAGGCAAGAAATTAAAGCCCCCATGAGCTCCCAAGGCACCCTTTCTGCCCAAGATCTCCTGACAAGAGAGGAAAGTCTGGGAGTAAGAGCCCTTTAAGACAGGCCAGCAAGACAGGGCCAAACCCCGTGGGATTGTGGGCACTCATCCCTCTTTCTCTAAGGGAAGGGGGAGAGGTGCCAGTAGTCCTCCCCTCCCCCGCCCTCTTCAGACAAGGCCCCTTCAGTCTGGGATGGCTTTGAAGAACCAGGCCACCCAGCAGCCAGCCCCAGTCCTGACCAGGGAGG